CAAATGTAGGACTGTCTTTATGCCTGTTTAATCTGTTGCTCCTGACATTCGTACAAAATATGTCAGTACATGAGCCAGCTTTCTCATGGATCCTAGGTTAGTGTCTTAACTTCAGGGTACAAAGCAGAAATGGGAGAGCATTTTTAGCTTTAACTCTGTTGCATTTTATTAGTGCTTTTAAACACAGTGGTTCTGTAAAGTTTTTCTGAACCCCATATTATCACGGTATTGCTCTCTCTGACTCAGTGATGTCTCATATAAAATGGAGTGTCCCAACATGTGGATATCCTATCCATAAATTTCCCAGCCTTCACACATCTCACCTCTTATGGTTCTTGCCTGAACTCAGATTTGTCCTCTTTCTGACTGAGGATAGGAATGTGAAACAGTTCATTTCATAGTTTAAATTATTAATTTCTCCTGGGGCTATAGATATTCTGACAATAATGCAGAGAAGAAAGGAGATGAAGCTTCTCTTAATTCTGGTAGAATTGTCCTCTTTTCAAAACCATTCACAACTTGGCATTTAGCATCAGAGAAGTTTAAGATTTAATTCCTGTAAGCTGAATTGAAAACTAAATCTAAGGTGCACAGTGCAAATGGATGTCATAACACTCAAACAGAAAGAAAGATTTGGCTTTCTTCAGCAGCTTTGTCTGGATCTGGTCCATCTTCTGCTTTGTTTTTTCTTACCTGTGCTTCAAGAAAATTGTTTATACAAGGCCACAAGACATTTTAGTCTCAAACTAAGTGATTTTTTTTCATTACTCTCAGAACTAAGTGGAAAAATAAAACCCCAACTGCAAAACACTTGTTTTTCAGAATAAAAATTATTTCTATTGCTTAATTTAGAAGCTAAATTAAAAAATCAATTCTTTGCACAGCCATAACATATAATCAGATTCATTGACATAAATGCCCTGAATTACACAAATTAATTGAAAACTATATTCCTCTGTTATTGCTGAGATCTGTCACAAGTAATTTTAGAATCACTTATTGATCTTTCATTATTAAGATTTAGAAAAGCACTCATTTGCTAATCTGAACACTTCTGAGTTCATTCACAATAAAACTAATTACCATACCCATAGCAAAAATGAAACACTCAGAAAAAACACCAATAAATTACCCTAAATATTACTCCAATATAGAAAGAGATTTCCTCCATCAGAATTTTTGGATTTTTTTTTTTTTGGAGGGTGAGCTGCTTATTTGGGTGGCCTTTTAAAAATGTAAAAATGTTTTTAAACCCCAATATCTTCACCCCTTTTGTTCAGGATAATGACAAAAATGTATTACAAAAGTACTAAATAACACACTTCTCTAAGACAAAAAATTAACTGTACAGTCATATATGCATAACAAAACATGAGTGTTAGTTGATAAACAAGAAATCAGTTTCATTGTGTTTACTCAAAACATGACTGTAATTTTCCAACTTTCTCTCCTTTAAAAGTTCTCACTCAGAAATGAATGGAAATTGATTTCATTATATATACATCCAATTTGCCTTATACATCCTTTGGGTGTCATTGCCTTATTTTATCTGACAGTTCTAAATGATCCATTTCACTGAAGAAGACCAGTAGGCAGGGTTTTTAAATTAATATTACTTCTTTTACTGTATTTGTGTAACTCAGGTTAGCTAATTTTTTATGAAGTCTTTAAGAAACTGAGAATATAGCTGTTGTATGTGGGAGAAAAAAACTCACTGAATACCAGTATTTCCTATCAAAGCAGAAAACAGCTGAACATTGAGTATTTCTACCTGTGCCAAGTCTGGGCGCTCAGCAAAAAGATGTTGGACACATAAAAAAATATCTTCTCAATGAAGATCCCAGCTAAGCTGCCAGCTGAGGGCAGGTCTGCAGTAGCTGCCTGGGTTCATTAGCTGTAGCTTTTGCCTTGTCAATGAATAAAACACTCCTCTTCCTGTAAAGCTTTATGGGAGTTCACACCATCTGTAAGAAGATTCTTTATAACTTATACAGAATACAAGTACAGCAAAATTGTGCAATTTTTTAGCCTCTACTGGATATTATATCCACACTACAGGATCCTTTCAAAGTACACTTTTCAAATGGAGCATGTAGCGATTTTGGAGTACTTTAGTAACTTGCAGTTAAGTGAAGTGACCAACAAAGTTTTGTCTTTATGTTTAGGTGCATACACTGGTGGGCAGGCAGGACCAGGCTGAAATTTCTCATTACATCTAAAATGAAATCAGGGAAGATATTGCAAACCTCATCTTTTCCATTTTTGTCACTGCTCAATGTTGAAGACTGTAGAAGACAGTTATTACTCTAGCATGCATCACATGGTTTTTTGGTTTTATTTTCTTCAGTTTAATGAATGATGTGCTTATCCAATGCAGAAGTATCACCCAAAATTTGAAGTCTGTGACAAGTTATTGTACTACAGGACATAGGGTGGATATAATGAACTATTGAGCAGCCAAAAATCAGCTAAAGGCATTATGATAAATCTGTTTTGAGTCCACTGATTCATTTTCACACAAAAAAGGATGGCAATGTGCAAATGAGGGAAAAGTCAGAAATAAAGACATTTCATTTACCTTTAAATTTATATGTTTAAACTGCTGCTGTTTATACTTGTACCAACACTCTGGCTTGTCTTTATAGTCAATAGAGACAAATGGGTAGTTCCAGAAGACAATTCCATCAACCCATTTTAGACCTTTTTGATGAAATTAGCTGTGTTCTTCAGATAGCTATTTCTAATCACTGAGAAAAAGCCAAGATGCTTAGCTCCAATGTAGCTACTACTTTGCAAGTTTCATTAGGTTTTATAAAGCAAACCTAGAGTAAATGAAATTCAAAATGCCACTGGCAAAGGCTCCTCCCCATGATGAAACTTTAATGTGGAATGTTTGTGATCTTGTTGAACATTCCTCTGATCTTGCTGCACACACAGAACACTATAAGCCCTTTGGAAGGGGCTGCTATATTTCATTGTGTCTGTCACCACAACTCATCACTGTTTGAAAGATAAAGGATAGGAGGAGAAGCTTGCAATCAGAGATGACAGGTTCTCTTAGCCACTCCTTTGTCCTCAGCCAAGAGCAGATATATTTTCTATCAGATTTGTCAAATTGTATTTTTCTATGAAAGTACTTAAACGATTTCATGAATTATTACTGAAAAAAAACCCAAAAAAAACAAACCCAAAGCATACCAGGAAACCTAACTATCTGATATTCAGCTACCCCAGATTTGTGAATAGGTGGGATCTTGAGAATAAAAATCCTGACAAAGCTGTATTCAAATGTATGGTTATTTTGGCTATTCTAACTGCAGTAGTGGTAAATGTTCCTACATTCCATTTTATGGCCATGATGATTTTATATAAAACCTATACCCATTATTCCAGTGATTTGTATGGAAATATCTGTAGATCTAGATGGTTAATGTGCAGGCTAATGGGAGCTACAGGACAATAGTCTGCCCTTAATTCAGTGACTTCTTTCAAAGATCAGCTCTCTGTGCAGCCTAGTAATCTACTAATGACTCAAACCATTTCTAAAGTATACAGGCATCAATTCCGGCCTTGCAAGAATTTGTTTGCATCTCACTGGTTTTCTTCAATGTCAAAGCACTATCCACAGCATCAAGCTAGTCTATTTTAAGAAGTGCTTTCAGAAAAGATGTCCTTATCAGGAAAGATTTTTTTATTTAATAGGAAAAAAAATATACACAGTATACAGCACAAATGAACTAAAATTTAATGAAAAGAATTCTATTGACATTAAAAAAATCCCAAAGAGTTTGTTTCATATCCAATACCATACCACAGTTCTACAGGATATTTTCATATAGGGAAATTGAAAAGGTTTAGAGGACTGGTTCTGACATCATTTGTTTCCACAGATAATCCTGACTACTACCTACACAGAGCAATGGGGAGGGTTGCAGACAGCTATGGGTCCTCTGCATAGATATTTTTGAATTGCATTTCCTTTCTTCCTTTTTGAGCTATTTAATTGCCTAGTTTTCAACTGCCATATCTTTGTGTGAGGGTCTGCAACTATCCTGTAAAGCAATAATATCTTTCATAAATAGAATGGGAAAAATATTTTTTTTCAGACAGCAGAGATTACACAGCTTATACATTACATCTGAAAAATGCACTTTTCAGAGAGAAACAGGGTTTTCATAAACAGGTTTTTTTGTTGTTGTTGAAAGAACAATTAAAGTACACAAGACACAGCAGAGTATCTTAACTAGCCCACATGAAGAGTGGGTTAGTTAAGATATAAAAACAGTATAGGTGGGATAACAGATTCTAATTCCCAGCCAAAGAAGGAAAGCCAGGACTACCTTTGCATGAACTGTAATGTGCCTGTGGAGTCACAGCCTCAATTTAATGGCCTCACATTGAAAAAAACTAAAATTACTGAGCATATGATGTATTTGAGGGCAAAGATTGTTTATGATGTACCTAGTACACACAAATTTTTAGGACTAAGTGCATCTTAAAAGCTAATTTTTAAAGTAATTTGGCTATGATAATTTTTATTTGAAAAGTTGCACAAGGAACTTCAAGGACTTTGTTTACAACTAGTGTTCTAGCTCTTTTCTGGGTATGTAAGATTCTTATATAGCTTGTTCATTCTATATTAGAGCAACTAATATCTGAGATTTAAGTCCTCCTCTTGGCCTCATCTTCCTCTATTCAGGCATGCTGGCTGGCTGCCACTGCTCTGCAGCTGTCCAGGCTCTGTCTCTGTAGCTGGGGCAGTAGCCACACTCTGTAACCTTAGTTTGACCATAACTTGGACTGTGTCTTTTGCTATTGCTTTCTGATATTATTGTATGGTTGGATTCCAACCTACTTCACAGTATATTAGCTGGAGATCTTCAGATTAACCCAATGCTCTAAAAACCCTGGGGGGTCAGTGCTATGAGAAGAAAAAATCTCTAGGACAAGGGATGAATGACTCCACAGTAGATAGAATCACTACAAAGGAAAAAAAAAACTATGTTTAAAGCAAAGTATTTTATTCACATGGACCTGTAAGGTATATAAGACATTTAGACACAAAATTCAGAATAATCTTGTACATCAATAAATGCAGTGCCAGATTATTTCAGGTTACCAACTCAAATAATCCTGTTAATATCTTAAATGCATTGAATAAGCCTGAGAGATCCAAGATGTATATTGATACACATTTTCAGAACAAAAGCACACGAAGATATCCAAGATTACTTTACTTGGCCAATAGCTTCGGGTACTGTTGTATGACGTGCACGAGTCACAGCAAACAACAAGCAAAGGTCAAACAATTTTACAGAATCCTTATTTGTCTTTAGGAGAAACTCAGGAAAGTTTTTTTTCACTATTTTTGTCGGAACTTAGTGATTAAAATATATTTTTTAATGTATTTTTCAAGTTGCTGGGAATTTCATCCTGTAGAGAACTGCAAGACAGAAACTCTGACAGTACATTTCACATGATGCCATAATTTTTGTCTGTGTTCAGATGGAGCTTAGAGAACAACTCAGTTCCCTCTGAAACATCTTCAAAGCAGTTCATCAGCAGACAAGGCACCAGAAGAGTCCACAGGTTGCATTGACTCTTGTCTAGAACAAGAGTTTACACATATAATTTACACCTGAGCCCTTACATATAGATGCCTAAGATGTCTCAATCTGCACCTAAGTCTCACCCTAGACCACAACAAATTGTTGCAGAATTCAAGCTATTTGATAAGTAGATATTTGAATACCAATTCAGGATCAGACTTGTGCATCCACAGACATTACCGACAATGAGCCAATGATCTGGGCACTGATCTGGGAGTTGAGTTCATCTGTGACCTACCTGAGTTGTTACCTCACTTCTAGAAGACAGGCTTGTTATCTTTCCCAGGTTTCCAGATGGCTTTTCAATTATCTATTTATCTTGTACAGTTCTACTGACTAACTGCTTCAGCTGATAACTGCCAGCTGCCTCAAATTCTCTGTGATGCCTGATAGAGATCTTTCACAGTCGAGTCTGTTCCTGTAGTTACAGTGTGCTGTGTTCTGTGTCACCATGAGCTGCAAAAGAAAACAATTTGATTGGGCCATGTTTGATGGTTACAGAGAAAACTAACCTCAATGGAAAGACATGCTCTGGCTATATATTATCATAGAACTCTACATTCTAGTTATATTTATATGAATTTTATCACAAAACTTGAAGTACATGTACCTCTTTCACTAACAGGGCTAGGATTAAGTGTCGTGCTAGTGACAGAGCTATGAAGGTGGAGTGAGACATAGGCTGACAATTACTAGCTGTTGATATAAAGCTTACAGAAGGTGATCTAGATGATTTGCCAATATAATACTTACGTTATTATCCTGTGCATCACTGGGAGATGACAAGAATACACACCACATCAGCCTGCTTATGGACATGAGAGAAGTTAGAGATGTGTATTTATGGAACCGAAATCAGTGCAGAAAAAATAGAACACAATCAGAATGTAATCCGACATAGGCCAGAACAACACATGATCGTAAACATGCACCCTTTAGATTCAGACTCTGGGACAAGAAGACACAACCTGTAATGTAGCAGAGAAGTTCTAAGCTTAGAAGAGGACCTGTAAAATTCTGGATTCAGTTAAAACTGTTTGATAAGTGGCATGTGGAGAAAAGGGACTATTCCAGTGGGGGACTTACCCAAACAGTTAGTGGAGAGACTTACAAAAAGTACCATCAGGTATTCAACATTTGTAGCATTTTCTTTTTCTCTAGTGAAAAAATAATATTTAAAAGTCTTTTATGTTAATATCAATAAAAAAACCTCAAGCGATTACAATCAAAACAGGATAGTGTTTAACATGCAACCTCACAAAAATCTATTAACTGGACACAAAATTAACACCAAGAGAGGTGGCTCTCTCATTAGTTGACTTAATGTCTTCTTAAAAATTAGTTCACTGAAAAATACAGAATGTCACACTCCCATATGCAGACACACATGCACACAGAGCTCTGAACCTTTAGCAGCTTCTTAAAATTCACTCAGAAATTATTTATTGCTATCACTCACTAAGCATTTTTAATCTGAATAATGGACTTCCTACAGCAAAGGTGCACCAAAACTGAGAAGATGCAACATGCCTACAGGGCTTTTCAATCTGCAACTGAGAACCAAATCACTTCAGTGCCTTCACTCTGCAAACACTCACAGGGGAGCATATTCACTTAAAAAACATGATATCACTGCAATCAAAGTCCAAGTAAAAAATGAATTCATACATCCACTCCTAGTCTGAGGGCTCATGGTAATTTTTGTGACTTTAAGCAGGCTGGAGGCACTTAGCATGCTGTATCTGAACTTGTGCCAACTGTAGGCCAGAATCCCACGCTGTTATACCTGCAGCTAGCTTATGTTCAGACTCTGCCTTGGACTAGAAAACACCAAATGGAATGAAACACACAGCAACAGTGAGTCAATGAAGATCACCTTTCCTACAGAGAGTGGTCTGAAAAAAGGTGGTATTGAAAGAAGGTGCATGAGGAACATAGGCATATACAGAAGATGTTTATGCCTGTAATGGTTAATATATGATAACACAATCTTCTATTTCTATATAGATGTTAATAGATGCAGTATAATATAAATACAAATTTATTTACAAGGACAGAATACATCAACTTGCACTGTATGCAGCACTGTCACATACAGCATGCAGTATGTACTATGTAGTACAGCAAATACTGCCTGTGTGATATACCTTATCATATACAAGTGTAAAATTATAAATTTTACACTGTGTAAATTTATTGTGTGTAATATATAGTATACATTTATAAATTAAAAATATATATCTATATAAATATATATTTATTTTAGTTAGGGCATATCCATGGAGGAAATAGAAGGTTGCAGTGAAAATGAGGAATCATTTCTATCTTCATGTATTTATTTTTCAGTTCTCTTTGAAAATTACTTTCTTAAAATCATATAAAGCAGCAAGCAAACTTTACTATTTCACTGTAAAGGGCATTGTAGACATGCTTTGCATTTTACAGGAACTGTCTGAGGTCCTACAATTTTCTTCAGGGCATAAAAAGTGCTTGAATATGGAAGACAGATTTAGGCTGCTGTAATGCCACATATACAACTTTAATTTCAGCACTGGAAGCTTTTTTAACAAAATATTTACATCAAATTTCATCCTAATTTCGACATTTTTTACCCCGTAGTCGTGGGCCTGCCTGGAAGAGTTTGACCATGGGCATCAGTACCCAAGTTTTCTTTGCATGCATGACCAAGAGTCATGGCTCAGTGTCTGTTCTCCCCTCCAACAAACAGGTTTAGTGGGCTCCTCGTTGGTCTTTGGTCTTCCAAAGCCTGTAGTGCAACCTGCTGCCAGGACAGACACTGTGACTGGGAGCGTGCTGGGCACAGGCTCCTTTGACATACTTGCACAAGAGATGACTGATATTGCTACCTAAATTAATGCAACTGTCACTTCCACTTGCTGCCCTGGGAGTCACCATGTTTGCTCCTAAAAATGCCCCTGGATTCAGATATGTAACTGAAGCACTACTTAGGTTATGCAATGTCACAAATTGACTCCACATTGCTCAGTTTGTTTTGGGAAGAACAGTGTTTGCCCTCTCTACCAGTGAACTACTTACTGTTCCTTATGAGTACAGCGCCAGAATCTGCCCAGAGACTGTAGGAACCTGGCTGCTTTACAGACATGTGACAAAGTATTCCCTCCTGAATCTGAAAGACTTGGCCTGGACATGGATGATACATAAATAATAACAATAACATCCTAAAGAATTAAGGAATGCTTAAGTGTTACATTACTGATATTTCCAGGTCTGTGTCTTCTGATTTAACGGTTACAGTTTAAAACATAGAAAAGTTCTTAACACTTCTCACATAAAAGGAAATAAACTATTAAGAAAAGGAGACAAAGAAACCTGATTTCTATTAATTTGTGCTTCAGACAGCAGTTGTCTGTGGATGGATTCTTTGATGTAATCGCCATTAATGACGCTGTTTTTTTGAGGGGTCATATGCTCCTTTCCAGATTATTTTTCAAAAACATTTTGTTAATTGTGGATGATTCTAGCTAAGGGATTCAAATGTTATTAATGGAAAATAAACAGACAAAAATAAACTGCACAAGCTCAAGTCTTTCCTTCCTTTACTAGCAGCTCAGGAAACTACAATACTCCCAACTACAGCCCAAGTTCTCCTCCTGTCCATGCACAGGCAGTCTCAGTTCCTAACATGCCTGTAATGATCCTGATCATAAAGCTCTAACAAAGTGCTTGAAATCAAGTTTTTTGTTGTTGTTCTTTTTTTTAATATAGTATTAACATTTCCTTTTGTACATTTTTCCTTTTGTACATTTCGCAACACAATGTCAACAACTATAATTATTCTAGTCTCCTCACAGTACTTAAGTACAGCACTTAATGTGCAACATTTAGACGAGTATTATGGTAAAGGCTTTAATTATGCAATTATATGATTATGTTTATCTATTTCCTCACAGAATTTTATCCTTAAGGACAGGATTTCTGGATAATTTAGCGGTCACTTTCATAAATATGTTCATCATACATACAAAACACTTCTCATAAATTTTTTTTTTCTTAAGGAAACAAAAAAGACGGCAAATGCTGAGGTGACCAAGATTTTCATCAGCAACTCAATGCTGACGAGCCAAATTTCAGTTCCCGTTTCAGAAGGCGAAGGTCCTGCGTTGAGCACAAAACGAATTCGGTTAATTTACTTTTTATTTTCCCCCTAACACGAGGAAAGTGGTGCACCGTTTTTTAGACTTTCGGTGGACCAGAGAGCGCAAACTGCCTTTAATGTGAAATACTCGGCACCCTCAGTGGTGAACAGGAGGACATCGGGGCGGGACGGCGGGCATGGACACGTTTCGCGCTGCCAGAACTGAGGTGCCCCCCTGTCCCCCGGCCGCAACTCGGGGCGAGGGGGCTGCGGGCGCTGCGGGGCGGGCAGGTGGGCGGGGAGCGCTCACGGCTGCCCCCAGGGGCACAGGGCCCGCCCGCCCCAGCCCAGAACATCCCGTCCTGTCCCACCTCTCGCGCTGGCGCCGGCTCCATCCCCTTCTCCCCGGGCCGGCGCCGCGCCCCCGCCAGCCCCGCGGAGCCGGGTTGGGCAGCCCGGGAGGCGTCTCCTCTGCAGCCCCCGCCCCCCCGCGCCGGTGCTGAAGCGCCTCGGCCGCTCCCCGGCAGCACCCCCGGGACAGCAGCACCCGGGCCTCCCTCCCTGCCGCCCGGCCCGGGCTCTCCCGCCGCTACTCCGCTGCAGAGGACACCTCATGGAAAATAAATAAATTAATTCCCCCACTCACCCCCGCGGCCGGGAGAGGAGCCGGCGGCGGCCGCGGGATTAGATCCAGTCCGAGCTAGAGACCAGGTAATGTAACCTACCCGCCAGGAGGGAGGAGGAGGACGAGCAGCGAGGCCGCTGAGGTTGTCCCCACCGGGGAGGGCTCCGGGGGACGGAGAAGTGGCTGCCGCAGCCGGGGCGCGCCGGCGTGGCCCCGGCGGGCTGCGTGTGAGCGGCTGCCCCCGCGCTGTGCGCGCCTCACTGTCAGTCACACACACACACGAGCCGCCGCCCACTCAGGGATGGATGGATGGAGGGATGGATGGATGGATGGATGGATGGATGGATGGATGGATGGACCGTGCTGTCGTCCCCCAGTACCAAAGCAGCCACCGCAGGGAGACGCCGCACGCCCCGCCGTGCCCCGCTGCCACGCGGGCGGGCGGGCGGCTCTGACAGCGGGGCAGGGAGGGAGGCGGGCGGCGGGGCCGGGCTGAGGCCGCAGCTCTGAGGGGAGCGAGGCGCGATCCCGCCCCCGCGCCGCTGCGCGCATCCCCGCGGGGCGGCGAGCCTGCCAGCGCGCCCACCCCAAGCGGAGCCGCCGTCCGCGGCCCCCGCCCCGGCGGGCTCCGCCGGGAAATGTGGGCGGAGAGCAGCGGAGCACGAACCGTGCCGCCGCGCTTGCCGTCATCAGAAACGGGCCTGCAAGAAGCTGTGAGCGAGGTGACCTTGGAGAAGGTGGATCTGGATGGAGCCGCACTTGCTCCGTGCCAGCTGCAGTTCCGTGCTCTGGGCTGCTCCGAGTTCCGCGACTCTTGCGTTATTATCTCGAAACGCTGTTGGCTTTAGTTAATGGTTGTGTACAGAGGTCCTTGTATAAGTAGTACCAGAGCCACGAAAATAGTCCTCCATAATTCTCTTTACTTGACCTCCACTAGCACACAGTCCTTGAACGGAATGGTCTGAAGAGCTCCCTGGCAGGGAGCAATCGCTCAGGGGTCATCGTTGTTGAAGTGGCCCCTAAAAGGCAGTAAGTCTTAGGAGAGCCTGAGAAGTCGCTCTGTTCACGTTTCAGAGACCAAAGTGTCCCCTGGTACTTCTGGGAAAGCACATTACCTTTCAGTCCTGCAGGGTCACAGAACTGACACAAATTCTCCATTGCCTTTCCAGTGGGGTCGATAGGAAAACAAAACAAAGCAGAAAAACATTTGCAGATACCTAGATTTTCCAGTGCCAGCCTGAGCTTTCAATAAAGGAGTCTTACTGAGATAGTTGAAAGCTGCTTTGGTAAAAAGAGAGAAGCTAAAGAAAGCTGGTATCTCATGAAGGTGTCCATTCTAGTTTTGTTGGTCTCCATAATAATTGCTCATGTTTCCATAGTGGTTCCCATCTGTGGTTCTCAAGTTACTGATCAAATAGTAATGAAAAGGTGTTTGCGGCTTCCAGTGCAGGAATGGGGCCATAAACTTAATCACACACCAACTGAGCCAACAACTCGAGAGCCTTAGCTCTGTCTAAATGAATCATGACAGAAAAGTTAGTCATTGAGACAGAGGGATGTACACTTATATTTGAAAGAAGGAGGAAACTGACACATAATTCAAGTGAGATATACTCTTATGTACAAGTAGTAAATATGAAAATAATGCATAAGTGATTCCCTTTTTATTTTTAAATTGGATCTCTTCTCTCTTCTTGCATTATTGTCTGCTAACTTTGAATAGTGTACTTGAGCCTGAGTGCTGAACTCCTTCTACATAATGGAATACATTTAGAGAAGAGATGATACTTGAGATGTTTCTATTATTTGTGCAATCCATTACAGAACTGTAACTCCATGTGACTGCAAGGCCCCAGCTAGCTTAGTTTGCAGCATAGTGTTTACAATGTAAGTGGCTTTAAAGCAAAACAGCTGATCATTTTGAATCGGCAGAGTGGTGGCTGGAGGTTATGTTTTTATTTTATTGCAGGTTTGAATAATTTTGTCAGTGAAGAAAACCTGATTTTATTTGTATTATGGAGACGTAGAATAGCCTACATATGAAGTGTGGTCTTCATGGAACGTCTTTATGCATGGTGGAAAACCAAATTCACACGTTTTATAGAAAGGAAAACAATTTGGATTGTATTGTGATACACTGATCTGAACAGATATTTTATGGGCAAAGGGGGAGACTTTGAAATATTACAAAAGGAAATACCAAGGAAGAAAGCAGAGTGTAGTTAAATATTGTGGCTCTGCAGCTGCAGTAAGGAGTGAAGGAGTTCTTTTTCAGCAATTTTCTTTGTAAATAAATGCATTGTTATTTAAAAAATAAATGCATTATATTTAAAAAGCTTCTTTCCAGCTCTTCAACCTAATTTATCTGTTATTTCTCTGTAATGTATACTGTATTTAAGCTCACTCAACTCTTGCTATAGCAGAATTCTTCTTCTAGAATCCAGGTTTTATCAGGGCAGGAGATCTTTGGCCAGCCTAAATTTATGGACAGGCCATTAAGGGAGAGAAAAAAACATTTATTGAATCACGAGCTGGTGTTTTTTAAAAAAATTTCTTTCATTATTCTTCTTTCTTGGATGTGGTTCACTACATCATACTTCTATTTCTTGATTATTTTTTTTCCTGGCATCTCAGTGCTTTTTTTTTTTTTCCTAAATTTTAGAAAAACGTCCTCTCTTGTATCCTTTGTTTCTTAAATAAATTATCTTGTTCTCTTTTTGCAATGAGGAGGTGGCTTTATTTCCAATAAATA